AATACTTATATATTTATATATACAGAAACACGCCGCTCAGCTCCTCAGACATTGCCACAGACTGACAAATACTCCAAGACAAAATGGCTACTAGGGTTTGGTACACCTTTCTGCGTTCCCACACCTTCTTCTAGAACTCGGCCTAAAAATCTCATGATTCAAAACATTTTAAATATCTTGCATAGCTTTTAAAAGTTACTTTTAGAAGGAAGTTTGGCCTGAATTAGTTGGCCCACCGTTACGGGAATGCATTTAAGACCAAAAAGAGTGCTATTGTAAGACTCCAGTCTGAGGCACTATTGAGTGTCGGAGTGGCGAATGTCAGTTGTGGAGCAACCACCCGCAATGTAATTTTGTGTTTTTACTAATAACAGCCAAGCAAGCTCGAGAAGATTCTGAGTGGTTAAAAATATGTTTTCAAAGAAATATGTTTACTAATAAGAGTCAAATTCTTGAAGTTAAATCTATATTTAAAATATTATTTTGGGTTCTCGGTTACTAGGGCATGGTCAGCTTGTGAAGATTCATTGAGCCATATTCTTATAACCATGCACTATTCTGTATATATTTTTGCATTTCAATAACACGTTTTAAAACCGAACATTTTTATTTTTATTGGAATGAGTCGCGTACACATGCAGGATAAAATTCAGAAGGTAGAAAGGGGTGGAAATTTAATCTTTCTTCCCATCCTGCTCTTCAATCTTTCAGTTTCTGTCCCTGGCAGCAGCCACCGTGGTCGGTTCTTTTGTGTTGCTCATGTCCAAGCACCTGCGTGTGTGTGGGGGGGTGTGTATATACAGCATCTCCCACCCTTTAAACTCAATTTCAGCATCCTATACATTGTTCCCACTGTTTCTACTTTGTGAAAAAGCATCCCACTTTTTCACAAAGTAGAAATAAATCATTCCTGTGGCCACGCAGAGTTCACTCACAGTTACAGCCGCTTAGTATTCTGTTGTAAGCATATTCCATAATTTGTAAAATATTAGATATAGCAACTTTTCATATTATGTACCCATGAATATTCTTTTACACACCTTTTATGCGAGTGTATTTTAGGATAAATTTCTAGAAGGAAAAATGTTTAAGACTCTGATAGATATGTCCAAATCGCATTCTTTAGAGATCGTGCTGACATACACTCCCATCAACGATGTGTGAGGTTTGAGTGTGTCTTGTTCCTCGCACCCCTGCCAGTTTAGTTTTGCCAGCTTTGTAGGTCCCCCCCAAAAGGGAGGGGAGGTTGTATCTCATTGTATCCCTTTTATATGGGTGAGGTTGAACATCTTTTCATATTTAGAAACCATTTTAATTTTCTTTTCTATGAAACACTTATTCTGTTCTTATTTTTCTATTGACTTGTTAGTCTTCTTTTTATTGATTTGTGGTTTGCAAATATTCTTTGCCAATTTGTTTAACTTGGTTGTTTTGGCCAGAGAGAAATGTTTTATTCTTATGTGGTCATATTCATGAAGGTTCCCTAGTATAAAGATGCTGATTCTTACAAAATTACTTTGAAAAGATGGATACGAACCCAGCAAAAATGTCAATGGTATTGTTTGTTTGATTAAGGAGAAACCATACATATTTTCTAATTCTAACTTGGGAGACTGAGTTGGACGATCTTGGAACTAAGCCATCTAAGGTGCTCGGCCAAGAGAAGTCACTGGGCCCCCTCGCTTGTGAATACTGTCTGCGAGGATCAGGTCCGTGCTCGAAGGTTCCGGCTAGAGGCGAACTTTGGTTCCCGGCCACCTGTCCCGGTCACTTGTCCTTTGGTTTGCTTTCTGCGCCAGCGGGAGCCTCTGAGTCGGATCCCGCTGGGTCTATGCTGGTCTCCAGGTCGCGGGGTGGAGGTCAGTTGTTACCTCCTGAAAGGCAAACAAACAAACAAACAAACAAACCCAAATAAACAAAAAAAGAGAAACAAAAACCTGGGAAGAACGAAACTGTTAGGATCTGGTTTCCGTGTCAGGGCCCCGTTTCACTTGCAGAATAAGTCGCTGTCCCCCGAGGGCTCGCGTGGTTCCGGTTGCGCAGTCCACGCCCGGCCCGGTAAGTCGTCCTGGAGCCGGGAACCGCTCCTGCGGCTCGGGGAGGTCGGTGCCGCGTCTCCGGGACGTCTCCGCGTCCGTCTT